TGTGTCGGTATGTGGATATCCAATTACCTTATAGAAAGGATTTCAATTGGATTTGTAATTGGATAAGTAATTGACCAGGGAAATGGTTTTAAAATTTGGTTTTGTAATTGTCTTTGTAAATGGATTTTTAATTGGTTTTGTAATTGAGTTTGTAATTGGATGATGTTGTTAGTCTGTCTGTCTGTCTGTCCATCTGTCACGGTTTTGATAAAGTTCTTGATGGTTGAAACAAACTAATAAACACGTCAGGAAATGGAAAATGGTTTAGAAGTGAATATCTGTCTGTCTGTCTGTCTGTCTGCTCGTCTCAATCTATCTGTCTATTTGTCTTTCTGTCTAACTATCTAGTCCGTATTTCTCTCTCTATATGTCTGTCTGACTGTCTATGGCTCTTTCAACTTTGTCTCTTTATATATACTATGTCTTTATATTCGTATCTTTGATTATCATGTCTTCTCTCTCTCTCTCTCTCTCTCTCTCTCTCTCTCTCTCTCTCTCTCTCTCTCTCACCTTTACACTTTCTGTCGGGATTCTTCCTCCCCCTCACTCACACTCTCTTAACACTCTTTCGCCAACCTCACTCTCAACACTTTTCTACTTCACTCTCTCTTTCTCTCAACACTTTCTCCCCTCACTTTCTCTCATAACTCTTTCCACCCCCCCCCCCTCACTCTCACTCTTGATGTATACAAATGTTCCCTAAAATCAAATGAAAAGAAAGAAAGTAAATAAACACATTGAAAACTCAAAGGAACTTATTTAGACGTTTCTTAACTTTTTGGAGACACGTTTCAACAGGAACGAGAAACTGCAACAGGTGGGTGTAATATAAGACTGAGCGAGACTTGACTGACGCTAGGTGGTGAGATGTATCAAAGACTTTACCTTAACCTTTCATCTCTTGAAGCGAAAAACATACAGCAGCTATCTATAGGTTAGGTTAGGTTAGGTTAAGTGATTATATATGTACAGTTCCCCTTAACTAGTGTGTTTACAGGGGCTCGTCATATAAACATTCCCATAAATCATTATTTTTGGGGGTATTTTTAATATTGTTTTACTCTGATTCCATAATATGTTTACTATTGTATGTTTCCTTCTGTCGAATGTAAACAAACACAGCGCCTCCAAACTGCACAAAACCTGACGAGCCCCTGTAAACGCACTAGTGAAGGGGACTGTACATGTCAAGTGTGAAGAATGCAGCTGCCTTTCCTGATTAATGTTTGGGATATATCTAAACATATCTACGAGTATGCTGGGTGGTACCTTATTCAGGAGTATGTTAATATGTTAATATAACCACGATTTTTTGAACCTTTAAAACACGTAAGCTGTAGAGAATATCATCTTGGGAATATAAATGTATGTATGAGAATTTTAACTTATTTCGTTTTTAATTTATATAGACGACACTGAACACCTTGCTCACAACACCCCATCAGTATAGGTAATATGAATCAACCGATGCAATATGTAAATTACTCAATACTCAATCACTATATAGGAGAGAAAATATCCATGTGATTGATCATTACTAACAATAACATCATTTCCAAGGGTATTATGTACAGTAAGACTCAAGGTACAATACCATGTTAAAGTTATTAACAGCTTAAGCTTATTTATTTCGTCTATATTCAGATCCTTCAATTCCCCACATATTTCTTCTCCATTGGCAAACGATTCCAATTTTCAGTCAATCTCTCCTCATTAGTGTTATATCCATGGTGTGTGTGTGTGTGTGTGTGTGTGTGTGTGTGTGTGTGTGTGTGTGTGTGTGTGTGTGTGCGTGTGTGTCCCTACAAACATCATGTATTATAACCAACACACCCAGCCACATTACACTCTGTTCGCGTCGTCTCGTTTAAAAAGTTTGAGAAAAATGGCACCAGCGACTGAATACTGACAGGGCGTTGCTGTGTGTGTGTGAGGGAGCCTGTAGGGAATTCCACTCCTGCGCCTGATAAGCAGTCGTCATGTGTCTTATCTCCATATAGTGGCTGACTCATGACATGCCTTGTCGATAACATTGACGGCTGGGTTCAGTTTAATGGTGTGTGTGTGTGTGTGTGTGTGTGTGTGTGTGTGTGCGTGCGCGCGCGCGCTTAGGTATATTTTTTTAACAGTTAAGAGACAGCAGACATACACTGTAGATGAATGCCATTAAGGCTTATTTACTAGTGGTAAGGGTGCCTGTCTGTCTGTCTGTCTGTCTGTCTGTCTGTTTAACTGTCTGTCTGGCTGTCTAGACAAAACCAGTTTCAACTAAAATTAAATTACTTCCAACAGCAGTTTCTTCCGGTTGTCTCTACGTGACCTCCTGCATATTGATTCCCCTGACACTGCATCGTACGCTTATCATGCAGGAACCACTCAAGCATGCCAGAATACAAACAATAACAAACTCATACAAACAAAAAATACTACTGCACTGGAAAACCGGAAAACCGAGACACACAAACCACCACAAACAGGCCTAATACACACTGCTACAAAC